TGAGGAAAAAAAATTAACTTAAATGATTTTAGCAAATGGCTGCAATATAACAAAGAGTGAAAAATTGAAGGGGGTATATATATATAGACACACACACACACATATATATATACATATACATACAGTATATACACACACACACACACACACACACACTACTATTAGCCCTAAAAGGAGCATGAACTCAAGACAAAGAATTGGTGTGAACCCCTTGCACAAACTAAGGAAATTCTTTTGAGTATGACACACTAAGCTTTGTGGCCGGTACATGCACTCTCTAATATGTGGTCTCTAGTCACAAAGAGAGAAACGGGGGCCAGTCTCTGTTCTGGCCTTTCCCAACAAAACTACTAAAAGCTTATAAATTTGATATAAAGTATTGCAATATAGAAATGGACTACATGACATGACTTGAAAAAAAAAATATGATCCCCAGTGCACACACTTACCAGATTACGGAGCGCACTGTTTGCATTTAATTCAGTTATATGCATAATCAATTTATTAAATGTCTTTATTTGTGAAAAATACTATAGTAGGATTACAGACTCAGTTTTTTTTTTGTGGATAATTTCAAATAATTTCTACTTTAGTAAATATGTACAATAAATATACATTTAATTTCAGCTCTAAGATATCACCATTGGCCATAAAAAAAAAAAAAACTATCAAAACACTTTGCAACAACCACTTAAAACAAACTACAAATTCAAACACCAGATCACCTCTCATTATAACACTAATGCAATTATGCAATAATTCCGTGTTACTTTACTTTCACAACTATTGTAGTCATTAATTATTTGAATTAGTTTTTATATTTTATGTTTTATTTTTAAAAATCCTGCTCATGCCCAATTTGTTCCCAATTTAAGTAATCATACTCTGCATCCAGATCAACTGTGAGGTCATTTATATAGGTTTATATTTTATTCCAAGAAACAAAAACATTTTTATGGTTGTACTTTTAGTTTACTATAATAACCCTGACCTGAGTGAGAATTTCACTCAGAGCAAAAGTTCCAGAGGAGAAGCCAATCCTGCTTTTGCCCAAACTTTACACAATTTAAATGATCATACTCTGCATCCAGTAAAATTTGAATTTACTGTTACAGTTTGTGGAAATGAAATCATATAGAGACGACCTCTAGGAGTGAAAGCCATCTCTCTGTGTTCCAAGAGGGAGTTTTTTCAGGCTGAGGGAAAGCAAAAAGAGAACTCGCCAGGTGCGAATTTAAGTGGTGAAGAAAACACACAGGAAGCCAGGAAAGCAACAAAGAGAGTAGCATATAACATCTGCATCTGAAATCATTACTATGCTCCATTACTAGGCCATGCTATGTTACTCCACAGAAGCATCAAGCTGAAAGCTTTGGGTGGAAACATAAAACACAGCTTTAAAAGGCTTGTTAAAATGTAAAAGAGGCAAAAAAACAAACAAAACCTACATATGGAAAACAGCCCTTTCCTACTAAAAGGGTGGAAAAAACGTTGCTTGTCCTATCCAATCAAAGTCTACAGTATTTTAGCACAAATTTACCAGCTTCTTGGCTAATCAAATTAGACAGATCTCAACAAGGACAGGTTGCATTACACACATATACCATCAAAAGCAATGAACAAATCGACACAAGGTAAAAGAAAACAGACCAAATTACATGAGTTTACTTTCATGTTAATTTGGATAAACAGTCTGTGCCAACCACAATGCATCTTAAAGTCATCTCAATATTTGCTTTTTGTTTATATTTATACAATAAATTTGGGTTGGTAAATAAATGCCAATACTACTTGTGTGATATGGAGTTCACTTATTTTTTGTAATTTCTCAAATATATATTAAATCATAAATTAGCTCACACAAATTCCTTGATTTTTTGCCCAACGGAAACGTTTAGTACTAGCTAAAAGACATTAAAATACTAAACTGTAGCTACTTTACCTTCATGAACTTGTCCTTTTTCATGTGTCTTGGTTTGCTACTCATTTCAGGACTTCTCTCAATGCTCCCATCAGTTGCCCTTTCATTTTCTTTGCCTACAACTGATATAATGCAAACAAAGAAAGTTGAGCTGAGAGGAGAGCAGCACACAGCAGGTGCACAGTGACACAGCTGAGCAGCAGATAAGAGTGTTTCTTAAAACATTTATTCAACCATGCAACATTTTAAACGCATGCTTTATTGTGAAGTGTTTCTCAACTATCACAAAGGAAATTCCTTGCTTTCAAGTATACAAATGTAAAGAATTTAATCTTATCACAGTGTAGCAGTGACCTAGATGTCATTGCATAGCCACAATTTGACAAGACAATTTGAAACAGTGTGCAAATGTTCACCTAAAATAAAGCTTTTACATTTTCATACTTTCTATATATGTACTGCCAAGGCCTTGCCTTGTGAATTTGTAAACTCAGCTGTGTTTAGAGATAAGCAAGATCCCATTTAATACTAATAAAAAATAAAATAAAACAACAATTTACATACTTTTTAAACCCATCGGTCTCTTTTCAATGGCATGTTTGGGGTCAGGGGCAGTTTCAAGACAGTTCTGTATTTGTGGATTCACATTAACCGCTGAGGATGACACTGGAGAAGTAGCCGTTGAAGTCTTCTTTTCATTAGCAGGACTGAGCTCAATTGAGCTTTTATACTTCCCTTCAGAAAGAACAGCAGAGCTTAACCTAGTTTGTGTCTTCTGTTTCTTTGCCGATGCCTCAAGTTTTATTTCTTCAAACCTGGGCAACTCACATGTCGCCACAGACAAACATTCAGGCCTTGATTCATGTGTCTCAGGAGCAGGGCCTGATGAGCCAACCAACAAGTCTTTAATGTCAATATTTTCATGTTTTCGCTTTTTACCAAGTGATCTCTTGCCCTTCCTCTTGTTTGAGTCCTCCAGGTCAAAAGCGGGCATGTGCAATCTTTCTGAGGTCGACCCAAATAAAATGACCTTTTGTTTAAGGGCATTGTTGGCTGGTAAGAAGTAGTCTTCAAACACTTCACCATCCACAACATCTCTATTAGGAACATCAGCAACCGAGTCAGCAGAACACAAAACAGCAGAAGTTTGATGTTGAAATTTACGAACAGGCTTGGGAGTTACCGATCCATCACTTTCAATTTCTGTAAAACAACTGCCTGATGAAGTTTGCTTCTTGGAATATAAACGCTTGGAGTTGGTCTGCAGATCATTGGATTGCTGTATACTTTTGCTGTTTTTGTGATTGGTTTTTGTCAGGCTTTCAGGCAAGGAACTTTCAGGTCTTTCAGGGCTGCCAGATAACTCTGTAGATATACCACTGTTTTCAGTTTGTGGTTTGAGGTGTGAGCTTTGTTTTCTTTCAGAACAGGTATTATCAATGTAACTCTCTAAAGTGGACTGTTTCTTTCCTCCAATGTTGTTCACTGAAGACCTTCTTGATCGGGAAAATATAGGTGAGACTTTACTATGTGTTTCAACACCAGCCAGATTACACATAACCATGGCTGTGTCTGATTCAGGAGGTGTTTGTTTTTTTGCTTTACTTGTCATTTTCATTGTTAACTTTTTATTACAGTTCTGTTTTTCTTGTTCATCTCTTTTCTTGGAGGAATGATAGTGAGAGGTTGAGAAGCAATCCAAAGGCTCTTCCTCTGTAAAAGTTCAACATATTTACTTTAATATAATGCAAAATGTTTACTAAAGCTACTAGGGATGCACCGAAATGAAAATTCTTGGCCGAAGCCGAACAAAATGAAACACTTGGCCGAAGGCCGAATACGTTCCCCCCCCCCATGTATTTTGACAATTTTTTTCACCATTGCATAAATGAAAAATCCAAAATGTACTTTTTTAAAATTCTTTTCAAAGAAAAAACTGAAAACTTTGAGTAGCAAATCAACATAGAATGATTTCTGAAGGATCATGTGACACTGAAGACTGGAGTAATGATGCTGAAAATTTAGCTTTGATCACAGCAATCAATTACACTTTACTATATGTTCACATACAAAACAGTTATTTAAAATTGTAATAATATTTCACAGTATTACTGTTTTTATATTTTTTATTGTACAAATAAATGCAGGCTTGCTGAGCAAAGGAGACTTTTTAAAACATTAGAAAATATTACAGATCCCAATTTGAACACTATGTGTGAATTAATAATAAATGTATTAATAAAACTGTTGTAATTATTATTATCTTTAATACTGTCTTTATTTTACAGAACAACAGTAAAATTGCAATACTAACATTTATGAATGTTGATGGAGCTTTTATTTTGTCGGACCTCAGTGCTTCTTGTTGACAACACAGCAGAGATATAGTTATAAATGATTCTCATTACGAATTTGGGAAGATGTTTGTCGCACATATCACATTGTCACACCCATACCTTGTAAAAATTCATAAAAATGTTACTGAGCAACTGACGAGTAATGCTGTTTCAGCGCAGATTTTCCTCGCACTTTGGACTTTGATCCCTGGCTAACAAGCAGAATGAAAACATAACATTATGCAGTTAATTTACTAATTGTTTACGGCCATTTCGCAAAGACATGCGATGCAGTACTAAACAGTCTCTTGCTGTCAGTGCTTGTAATGATTTTTGCATCTTTCTCTGCCAATTTTAAATGCTTCCGCTTACACACTGCCGACATATTTGCTGTGCGCATCTCACTCTACGCTGGTTGCCATTTGATTGAGTCACCAAAAATGTCATTGTTCGGTACAATTTATTCAGTCTTTTTCTAATTTTCGGCCAAATAATTTCGGTTGCTGAAAATTCAGTGCATCCCTAAAAGCTACAATTATTCTACTACCAAAAAATACTTTTGTTTCCCCAAACCTAGTTGTTGCAAGAAAGACAGAGTTGGTGATTCCCCAAGAGGTGGTCTCAAAGGTGAATTACATTCTGAGGCACTATCCAGCATCTGTGAGGCTAAGGGACAAGACAAAATTAAATAAATACCTGAAAGACCTTTATTTCTACAGTGTGTAGAGATTCTGTAGGGCAGTGGTCTCAAACTCAATTCCTGGAGGGTAACAACTCTGCAGAGTTTAGCTCCAACCAGCTCCAAATCACACCTGCTTGGAAGATTCTAGTGATCCTGAAGACCTTGAATAGCTGGATCAGGTGTGTTTGATTAGGGTTGGAGTTAAACTGTGCAGAGCTGTGGCCCTCCAGGAATAGAGTTTGAGACCAATGCTGTAGAGTGTAATAATTCATTTATTTTTCTCAATGCATTTACTAAAGGGGTCATGAACTGCCTGTTTTTATTTTGTACTGTTTTGTGAGGTCCACTTATAATGTTATCAAGGTTTTTAAATAAAAAAACATCATAATTTAGAAGTAATAGGCTGTTTTCTGTCCTGTTTTTGACCCTCCTCATCTGAACGCTGTTTGAATGGGTGTGGCGGATTGTAGACTCAGAAGTAAATGCCCACTGCTATGATTGGCTAAGATTTGTGTATGTTTGACAGTCTACGCCCTTCACAGATGGGACACTGCTGTGATTTAACTTAATACCGCATAAACACTCATATCAAAACGATATGTTTAACAGACAAAGCAATAGTAATCACGTAATAAAAACAATTACTCACACTTGCGTGTTGTGACATTACTGTCAGATCCAATATAGTCGACACAGCATCGTCTTTTAGTTTAAATCTTTCTGGAAATCCTGCATCGAACTGTGCCTTGTTTGTAAATGAATATGCGGTAAAATGAAGTGAACAGTGGACCAAGTTCTTACTGACGTGGTCTGGAACTTCATTAAAAATAAATTCATCCACGCGGTCCTAATATTGGGATCAGAAGGAAGGCAATGCAAAGACTATTTTTTCCACAACTTGGCACTGCACAGCGTCTTGTTATATTCGGAGCCATCTTTATCGTTTGGTTTCTGCGTAGACCTGCGTATTCGCCTCTCTCGTCAACACTACATGCGTGAATCAGTGGGCGGGGCTAAACAGGCAGCGATATAGAAGCAGGCGTTGATCTTCTTCTGGTGGTGGAGAACCGACACTAATAGGCGGTGTTTACCGACACTATTACATCATAGAGTGGTACATTCCACAAGCTGTTATTTTGGCAGACTTGCTTCGATATAAGCTGTTCTAGACTAACGAGAAAGTTTTGAGTTCTGAAACTTACAGGATGCTTTATAGTACAATGACCTCTTATATGTGAAAAGATCAAGGGGATTTTGGTTTCTCAGTTCATGACACCTTTAAAAATAAAAAAATAATAATTTGGGTTATATGTGTGCAAACTATTCACAACAGAGGGTTGCAATATTCTTCGGTATGCTGTGGGGTACGTTCCTGCACCCAAGAAAGAATAGGGGAAGTTTTTAAGAATCCTATCCACCTTATTTTGCAAAGTGGAAGTAAGCTATTTTCTTTTTACGGATTCATTAGCCGCTATAGGTAAATAACTAAAATAATAAAGTACAAATCTGCACTGATTGTAATAGATTAAAATAATATGATAAACACCAGTACAAATACCAGTTTGAAATATCAAGCAGCATAACAGACTCTTTTTGTACAGGTAAATTATCCCAAAACAAATGACACCGGAAACCTTGCAAGTTACAAATGGTCGTGTGCTTTTCTCACCAATGGGGGATGAGGAGATCAGGCCTTCCATCATCTTGTCTAATTTTTTCTTCAGCCGCCTGTCATTCTCAGGGGTCTTTATAGGAATATCTCTAGGTTGCATGCAACGGTGCTGCAAAAGGGTGCTGCTCTTTCTAACTTAAATTTTTTAAATAAGGTGGATAAATGTTTTTCATTATTATCAAATCAAAAATAAACTATTTGAAATAGTGAATTAAGCAGATCCACTATGAACCAAAAGAATTTGCAACCCTATAATTCAGTACAAAGCTTTGCGGTCTGGTAGAACACAAAATTATTAGTTTACAAATGAAAACTAGTTCTCAAAAGGATTTGAGGAAATACCAGTGGGTGAGAGATGTTCACGTTGAGCTCTCATTTCTCTCAGTCGCTGAGCCATGCTGTCAGAGCGTTTTAAAGAGGGACTGTACACTACTCCATTTTCCTCATCAATAACAAATGGTGATGTGTCGGAAACTGTATTAAAACAAAGTCCCAAATGCACAACAACCTTCACAAATTGTTGAATGAAATAAACAAAAATTAAAAACAAAAAAACAACAACAACAACAAAAAAAAAAAGGTGTGCTTTTCTCACCAATGGGGGATGAGGAGATCAGGCCTTCCATCATCTTGTCTAATTTTTTCTTCAGCCGCCTGTCATTCTCAGGGGTCTTTATAGGAATATCTCTAGGTTGCATGCAACGGTGCTGCAAAAACAATGAAAAACAAACAAACAAACAAAAAAAGCAAGTATGAGGTTATTTATTAATATTTACCAAGATATGTATAATATTCTTACAGAAACCATTCAATTTCAAAAATAGTAAAACAAGTCAAAACGTTTGCTGTTTTACATATTATTTATGTTTAATTTCCTTACTGTTCTTTTATTTCGATGAAGAAGTTTGGACTCTTCATTTTGAGCAGGAAAAAGATTTTCATCTACACGTTCATTACTCTCTTTACATCTGCAAAATCACAATGAATAGAATTTGAAAGGAACGTGAAAGGAAACCTTGAGGTCTAGAGACATCTACAGGCCATCCAAAGAAATGCAACAATCAAAATGAGGAAAAGATCACTAATGGAGTCAGAGAACTAAAACAGCACAAGAACATGCTGTCACTGGCATCAACAGATTTCTGCTCTCCAATGGAATTTCAATCAACTAGATATTAGCAAATCAATATATGCAAAATGATTGACAAGGTGAGAGAGTGTTCTTAAATTAGCTAAAACACAGGATGATTTGCATTCCTGACTTTTTTTTATACAAGGACTAATGCTGTCAGAGACAGATGTGATTTATCTAGGCTCCTATTTCAAATGATATCTGTCAAGTAGTAGGGACCTTTTTTGTATGTAATGTAAAGATATTTACAGCACTTTTAAATGTGACAGAAAAAGGGGCATTTCTATGGTGCATTACTTCTCTAGTTTGTCATTTTTCAAATGTGTATGAATTTTCATTTTTGGGCGAACTATCCATTACATCATGTTTAAAAGAAAATCATTAGCAGATATTTAAAAGTTTCATCATTTTGTCCCTTCACTGGAATAATGAAGTGTGTTCATTTGTTCAAGAAGACTCATTTCTGCCAGGCTCTACTTTTTAACCAATTATTCATGCCTAACCTTTGGAAATTAAATTGGCAACTTTGTCTAGAACAAAACCTTTATTCATGTTTGCAGATTTACATAACTCCTGGTTCTTAGGATATTGGCCTGAACATGCAGAAGACTAGTTCTATGTGATACTCATTTTTACCTTGCTACCCAGTGGACAGAAACAATCCTCACACCCATTTTCTGGGCTTTCTTCCATGTGGACGGGCGGCCATGTTTGAAGACTACGTGGGTCACTTGTTTGTTGAGTGTCTTAGATACCTGTCATTTAAAATGCATTCATTTATTTTACATTTTAATTTTGTTCATAAACACAACTGCCAAAATTAACAAATGTCACCTCTGCACCCATGTCCTGCAGCTGCTGAATGAATGGATCAGAGTAATCCTCCATTCTGCTGGCAGACCACACATCAACATACGCCACCACATCTTAAAAGGGAGAAAGAGGACAGTGGATAAACATTCACTTCACACAAAAATTTTGATTCATAATAGCATTAAATGTTTGGCACCACTGGCATAAAATATGCAAGTTAGAAGAGGGTAGTAAAATCCAACAAACTAAATTAAGGTCATTTCTGACTAAAGAAAAAAAATTATTTCATTTCTCAAATTACTTGGTAATGACACCCAATAAAGCTAATCAGCTATTATTGCTATAATGTTTTAAAACAAGACTGGAAATATAAATTTCTAAAAACATTTGTGAATAATCATCGTAATATCTCCTAATTTAATGAATATCCATCGATACCTTTGAGAAACCCAGTGGAAGTGTTTTTTCCTGTCATAGTTGATCCTAAAGGTCTCCTTCTAAAACGGCATCAACCAACGGAAAATGGAACATGATAAACTCAACATGATTCAAGCAAAACAGAAAACAAGCATGGTAACATACATTCAGTAAAGATTTTACATTAGCTATATAACGTTACACAATCTGCTAACGGAGAACAAATCAAGATTTAAAGTACATTGACTCATGAAAAACGAACACCAAAAAAAAAAAAAATCAAAGCCAATTCTAAAAAGCAAGTAACAGTTAAGTTACTACAACAACAAAAAAGCATTGGCAACTGCTGATCTTCAAGTCAAATCTGGTGAAACGCAGGGTATAAGTTACTTGAGACGTTGTCCTAGCAGTCATCTAAAGTGTTCTGTCAGAAAGCACCTTTCATTGCTCACCTTAACCAAAGAACAACACATCAATATTGCGAAAAAAATCTATCCTTGTTTGTTTTTATATATATGTACATCGTGCAGTTGATACACACTGTTTTCATTTGACCATTCACAACTGTAAAAAACGTGTTTTCGCGGTAATGGCTCCTTTTGCGACGCATGATGGGAATTCAGTGACGTTCCTTACACCAGCTGGTTGATACCATTTGGCCGCGCCCCCTTTTTTTGTCTTTTTGCTCCACGGGGGCCGCCTCATGTGACGAGAGTAGGCGGCTGCAGTGAGGGTTTGAGCAGTGTTGCCAAGTCCGCGGTCTTTCCCGCGGAATTGGGCTACTTTAACACTGTTGCCGCGGGTTGTTTTCATGTCCACGGGTTGAAGCGACACCAATAACGCGATATTTAGCCCCTAAGATGTAAAACCCGGGAGCCCCGCCAAAAAAAACGTCTATTTTACCAGCCGGAACGCGATTTTTAACGGGGACCCCCGTCGAAACGCGATTGGGCTAGTTTTGAGTAGCAATTGGGCGGGTTTTTTTTGTGAAAACCTGGCAACCCTGGGTTCGAGTGACAGGGTGGCAGTTCTCAGTGCTTGTAGCGGATCAGACAGATCAAAGGCGGATTTCGCGTGAATCGTGATGTGTCTTGACTTGACGTGCTCATGTTTTCGCTAATAAACTGATGTAATTTAAGTTATGTTGCTTTTATATGAAAATAAAAATGATGAACAACACTTCCAAAGTAGCCTACTTGTTATTTATCCGAAAGCCGTGTTTTCATCCATTTTCAGTTTGTATTTTATACATTTAGACATATTTTATATTTGTTTTTAGACTGAAAACAAATTGCATATCCCCATAGATCGCATTGTCAGAGTACTTGGGGATATTCACCAATAATTTATATAAATAAATTACAAAATCAAAACATTTTAGAAGATAACAAAACATTACGAATTTTAAACCAAGGAGCGTTAAGCAGCTGTATCGTCAGCAAGTTGTTGTTGTTGTTTGACAACAGAGCAAGTCAGTAAATTACAATTTAAAATACTCAATCAGACTTATTGATTACAGGATTACATATTGTTCATACAATAGCAAAGTTATTCATAAGTTACTATATATTTATTATCTTCTTAATATATTTATTATCTTTTATCTTTTAAATGTTCCTTTCTACCTACTACCTACCATACTTTCAGAAAGTCTTCCAGTTTCACACAAAAATCAGTAACTAGTCAGGTAGCTATAATTACTCAGAAAATTGAGAGGCCAAACAGGGCAGGACTTAGGGGGCTGGGGGCCGGGGGGGCCTGGGCTTGAAGTTATGTTTGGTCCCTATGCCTATACACTACAAATGCCCTCAACTAGAACATCATTATGGAGTAACATGCTTTGAGGTTCATATATTGTACAATTATATGCAACATGTCTATCCTATTCAAAGTTTAGATGTACATCGATTCCTTTGAGAAAACCAGTGGAAGTGTTTTAATTATTTTTAAGTGTTGTGGAAGTTTTAAGATTTTTATTATTTTTAAGTGTTTTATTTTATTTTAAGTGTTTTATATTATTTTTAAGTGTTTTAAGTGTTGTGGAAGTGTATAATTAAATAGTCATTATAATACAATAAACAGGATGTTTTCTCTCAGTTGAGGGATCAAAATCCTGAAATAACACTGAGCAAAAAAAGGTACATTCTTAAATGTAATCAATAAATTCAAAGCAAATAAAAAAACATGTTAGATATTAACAATCAATCAAAATAAATCACTGTCAACAAAATCCATAGATGGATTTTGCATAAATTATGTAAAGTTTATATTTTAATGTAGAAATATTAAATTATTGCAAAAATGAAATAGGGGAGAGGGGATGGGCACAACATCACACTTTTTGACGTTCTCAGTTTGTGTAAATCCACATGGGGTTCAGAGTATAATTTTTTATCCACAGCAATTTTACACTTGTCTAGTACAAATACAATGCTTTATTTCAGAATTACAGTGTATACATTTTTCTTTATTTACCCTCAAAAATGGAAGTGAAATGTGACAACATGCCCCATAGGTAACATTGACTGACTAAAAATATATATATATATATATATATATATATATACACACACACACACACACAAGACAAACTAAAATATTTTGTCAATAAAATAAAATTATTAACTTTTTCAAATAAAATAATGGCTTTTTTTTTAATTAAAAATAATCTGATTTTGATGAACACATTGCAACCATGCTTGGGATGGCCCATATAAATGAACCAAAATGCTTTTCATTTCTTGAAATAGTAACTTCTGAACATTAAACATTGACTGTCAATCTTTATTCGCCTGTTTCTCGTGGTTTCTCATTAAAATTCATTGAAGTATATAGTGTACATTACATTGCTAATGTCATAGAATAGCAATAGTTTAATTATAGTGGGGCACATTGTAATGCAGTGTTACAATGTTCCCCATCTGTGCAACTGGAATTTAAATCCGGTTGGTGTCTTCTGCTAGATAGCGAAGCATTAAAGAACTATCTGAACTGATAAATAACAGATTGGAGATTACAATAATAGCAGATTTGTCTCATTTTAAAGGGGTCATATGATGCAATTTCAAATTTTCCTTTCTCTTTGGAGTGTTACAAGCTGTTTGTGCATAGATAAGATCCCTAAAGTTGCAAAGACTAAAGTCTCAAACCCAAAGAGATATTCTTCATAAAAGTTAAGACTTGTCCACGCCCTCCTAAAACGCCTCATTTAAACACGCCCCCACATGTCTACGTCACTGTGTGGGAAGATTTGCATAACACCGCCCAAATGTTCACGCAAGGAAAGAAGGCGTAACTTTTATTCTCGCTGTAGTATTGTTGTCGCCATGTTGTGGAGATGTGTGTTTCATTGTGACAGCGAAACTACTTTGTTTGGCCTTCCAAAAGAGGACGATATCCGCTTCATCATGCCTAGAGCTGATCCGTGCTGGTCGCTGAGGAAATACATCAACTTTGCGCTGTGGATC